CAGCACAATGCACAAAATCTTTGTGCGCAGACGAACGTGTTCGACTCGACGATCGTGTTCGACTCGACGACCGTGTCCGACTCGACGATCCTGTCCGACTCGACGTGTTCGACTCGCCTATCGTGTTCGACTCGACAAACGTAATCGACGATCGGTTTCGACTCGACGATCGTGTTCGACTCGATGATCGTGTTCAACTCGACGATCGTGTTCGACTCGACGATCGTTGTTCGATTCGACTATCGTGTTCGACTCCTCGATAGTGTTCGACTCGACGATCGGACACTGTTGGGTTCGACTCGACGATCAGTCGCTGTTGTGTCCGACTCGACGATCGGGCAGTGCCGTGTTCGACTCAACTATCGTGTTCGACTCGACGATCGGGCAGTGTCGTGTTCGACTCGACGATCGGCAGTGTCGTGTTCGACTCGACTATCGTGTTCGACTCGACGACACTGCCCACGACTCGACTATCGTGTTCGACTCGACGATGGGGCAATGTAGTGTTCGAAGCAACGATCGCGTTCGACTCGACTGTCGTGTTCGACTCGACTGTCGTGTTCGACTCGACGAGCGTGTTCGACTCAACTGTCGTGTTCGACTCGACAATCAGACATCCGGCGAGATCGTGTTCGACTCGACGATTGGGCGCGATTGTATTCGACTCGACGATCGGGCATGATCGTGTTGGACTCGACGATCGGGCGGGCACTGTCGTGTTCGACTCGACGATCGGGCACTGTCGTGTTCGACTCGACGATCGAGCACTGTCGTGTTCGACACGACGATCGGACACGATTGTGTTGGACTCGATTGTCGGGCACTGTCGTGTTCGACTCGACGATCGGGCACGATCGTGTTCGACACGACGATCGGACACGATCGTGTTGGACTCGACGATCGAGCGCGATCATGTTCGACTCGACGATGGGGCACCATCGTGTTCGACTCGACGACCGGAAGTGCCACGTGGAGTTACGAGGTTGAATCTGGGCTGCGTGGCTGTGTCCTCACCGTCCGATCCTTCAAACTCAGGGTGCTCCGCTGTGGTTGTGGGTCACGATCTTGGGTCGTATGCTCGCTACATCGTCGCGCTGAACACGCCTCTCGACAGCGCTGCGGTCCACCGTCACGTCGAGCAGGTGGTCGGCTATGCACGGACCGAATCCCTGTGCTCCGCTGCCGCGCTGTACACGAGCCTCCACCGCGCTGCGCTGCGTCGACGAACCTCCGCTGCGCTGCTCTACTGCTATGTTACCGAACTGAAACGAAAATGGGAACTGGTGGCCCTCCCTCATATATATAGTTTTTCGGGAGGGCCCTTCGCGGGCACCTGCTGGTCATCTGATCCGGGGATACTGACGGTCGGGATGATCCGATGGGGAATGGTGGGCCTGCCTCATATAATTGGTTTTCCGGGTGGGCCCTCCGCGCGTGCCTGCTGGCCGTCCGATCCGGGAATACAGACGGTCGGGACGATCCAATGACTGCAGTCGGCCACGATCGTTTTCCCCCCTTGGCCAGAGCGGAGGCGCAGGGATGATGTTCAACTGCGGAGCAGAAATGCGATTCACGCACATGAGTACCCGCGACATTGTGTCATTGTTCTCGTTCTGGGAGAATCAGCGCAGCCGTCCGCCAACGTCGACACGACAATTGCCCCGCTCTCCAGGTTAGTGTCTTCTCGGCCAACACGGGCCCCCCGCCCCCCTACCCCCCCCCCCCCCCCCACACCCCGCGAGAGAAAGAGAAAAGGCTCCGTGTCCAGTGCTGGTTTATCGGTGACGTCAACAAGTTTTCTCGAATACTTTCACCGCAGTCGTTGTCGTGTCGAACACGATGATGGACACGGTCGTCGTTGTGTCGAACGCAATGGTCGTCGTGTTGAACACGATCGTTGTCGTGTCCCACACACAGGTCGTCGTGTCAAACACGATGGTCGTCGTGTTGAACACGTTCGTTGTCGT